TTGGGAAGGCTGACGGCCGAGCTTTGTTTCCTTTGGATGGTTCGTGGAGGCTGGGTCGCCCATCGCATCGACGGCTCGTTACGACGTTGAGGCAGCAGAGAATTCGGAGCATTCCTCGGGCGGGCTGGCCGATGAAAGGATCGATGTCGAATCGAGGGACCTTACCTTCCCAGCTGTACGTACATGTACATGTACGTTGCGGTAAGGTAAGGTAGCTCAGACAGGGAAGACAAATGCAGTGAAGGAGACGCAGGAACCAGGTTGCCCGATGGGGGAGAAGGAAAGCAGAAAGGCACCCGTCAGTACCAAACTGACGGCCCAATGCCTCCTGCTCGAGCCATGTCACGACAGCTACCCATGTACTGTATCTGTCCACCGCATGTGGGCGACGGAGTACAGCCCCGTGTTGAGCTCTCTCGACCCTGCCTTCAAACACAGACACCCTGTTACCAAGTACGTACAGTACATGTAAGTAGGACCTCCACTGGCCCTGGGCGTCCTTTCCCGTCCCAGACTCCCCCAAACGTGAGGAAGGCCCCACCAAAGCAATCCCTGACTGGGCTCATTTAATTTTAGCGCGCAACCAATCCGAGCCACGTCCCCTTTAGGCAGTCTACCGTCGACACTACCACGACAACCCGGAAGCTGCCACCACGCCCGCAGCACCACCACGACGACCACCTGAGGTACCTGCCTACTGACCTGTGCAGGTAGGAGCCACCGCCCAGGGCGCGGCTTTCAGTGAGGAACCTACTGCCTACCCGCCTAGGTGCTGTCCCCGTACCCCAACCGCCTACCCTGTGCCAGCACCAGCCCCAGCACCAGCACCAGCACCCCGTTCGTCCTGAACAGACGGCACGCGCACGCAGGGTCGGCCAGAAAACGCGACAGGCAAGGTAGGGCGTGAACCTGGAGCAGGAGTGGATGTGCAGTGTGGATGCCCAGGGCTGCCAGGGTACCTCCTTCTCCTTCTCACAGGCTCCTCCCGTCCCATCCATCCCCATCCCATCTTGTCTTTTCCTGTCTGCTCGCATTGGGTCTCTCTCTCATCTCTGGTCTACTTCTTCCTCCTCCTCCTCTTTTCTCCCTCCTCGTCCTCCGTTCACCGACCTCTTCTTCCCCCCCTCCTCCTTCGTCCCTCTCTTGCTCGAGCGCCCTCTTCATTCTGAGAGCCTCGCTGCTCCCTTTCTCTTCTTTATTCTTTCATCTGACCTCGACGTCGGCCTCGCGAGCTTACCTTACCTTTTGCACCAAACTTGCCTATGCCATCCTAAGCCGACCCCCCGGCCGACCCCAAGCTCTGTGGACGTTCTCCCTAGCTTGCTTACACTCGTTGCCTCCGTATACTTCTGCTTATAATTCTTTGACCCGATTCCACCGGTCCAGCGGCAAAGGAAACGAGAGAGCCTCGTTCTCATCCCTCCTCCGCCTCCGCTTCATTGTTCCGACAAAGACTGGTCCGCCCAACCGAGCTAGTCTTTGCTGCACCGAATCGTATACCACAATACCGACACTCGCTCTACCTACATTTCGATCGATCGACCTAGACCGTTGATCCAGCCCAGTTGCTTGCTTCGTTGCTTCTCAAACCATCACAAACGCCTGGAGCCCCCCCCTACATATCCAGATCTTTCTTCGTCGTGCCTCAAACCAGGCACGCATCGTCTTCACCACGGCGGTCCTATCTCACCAGAGTAGGGACAGTCTTGTCCCTGCCCACCTGATGATGCAGGATCTCTCGGGAGCCGGCCAGCAGGCCGGACACGCCCCCAGCGGACGATTCCCCGGGCACGTTTCCAAGCCCTCCAACAGCGATACTGGCTTCTCTCACGGCGCTTTCACTTCCAACATTTCGGGTTTCGCCGACAGACACCCTCGTCGTGGCAACATTCCCACCATCAACACCCAGACCATGCCTCCCCAGCAGCAATTCCAGCAACAGCAGCAGCAGCAGCAGCACGTCCCCAACACGGCCGCCGACATGGCCACTCCTGGCACTGCTTTTGACATGCAGTTCACTCCTCTGCTACCCTCGCAGCTGCTCCTCGGAAGCCCTTTCCAGCCTGGCACGCCTGGCGCCTTTGGCAGCCCCCAGTTCCAGATGCAGGGTTTCCAGCAGCCTCAGCAGCAGCATCACCAGCAGCAGCACCAGCACCAGCAGCACCAGAACGGACTCGCCAGCCCCGTGCTCCAGAACATGTCGCCCCAGCAGTACCAGGCCATGGTCTCGCCCTCGACTTACGGCGCCCCCCAGTACTTCGCGCCTCAGTCGCCCACGGCCTCGGGCTTTGGCGGTATGCAGCAGATGCAGTTGCAGCAGCCCACTTCTCCCGTGTCCATGACCCCCGGTATCGTCACCGGCACCAGCCGCACCGTTTACCTGGGCAACATTCCTCCCGAGACGTCGGCCGAGGAGATTCTGGGCCACGTCAGGAGCGGACAGATTGAGTCCGTCCGTCTTCTCCCCGACAAGAACTGTGCCTTCATCTCGTTCCTGGACGCCAGCTCCGCCACCCACTTCCACTCTGATGCCATCTTGAAAAAGCTCTGCATCAAGGGCCAGGATATCAAGGTTGGTTGGGGCAAGCCCTCCCAGGTGCCCACCTCGGTGGCTCTCGCCGTTCAGCAGTCCGGCGCCTCGCGCAATGTCTACCTCGGCAACCTGCCCGAAGACATTACCGAGGAGGAGCTGCGGGAGGACCTGGGCAAGTTCGGTGCCATTGACACTGTCAAGATTGTCCGCGAGAAGAGCATTGCGTTTATCCACTTCCTCTCCATCTCCAACGCCATCAAGGCGGTGGTGCAGCTCCCCCAGGAGCCCAAGTGGCAGGCCCCACGCCGCGTGTACTACGGCAAGGATCGTTGTGCCTACGTTTCCAAGACGCAGCAGCAGAACGCCGCCCAGTATCTGGGCATTGCTCCCGGCTATGCTCACATGCTGACTGGAGCTGATCGCGACCTCATCTCCAGCGCTCTGGCCCAGCAGTCCGTGGCTGCGGCCGCCGTTGCCACCACTGCAGGTGGCATTGCCAACCTCGGCAACCGCACCATCTACCTGGGCAACATTCACCCGGAGACGACCATCGAGGAGATTTGCAACGTCGTTCGTGGCGGTCTTCTGCACCACATCCGCTACATCCCCGACAAGCATATCTGCTTTGTCACTTTCATCGACCCCACCGCTGCTGCCTCCTTCTATGCCCTCAGCAACCTGCAGGGCTTGATGATTCACAACCGTAGGCTCAAGATTGGCTGGGGCAAGCACTCGGGTGGCCTCCCTCCGGCGATTGCCCTGGCCGTCAGTGGCGGTGCCTCGCGCAACGTGTACATTGGAAACCTCGACGAGACGTGGACTGAGGAGCGCCTGAGGCAGGACTTTTCCGAGTTTGGCGAGATCGAGCTGGTCAACGCGCTGCGTGAAAAGAGCTGTGCTTTCGTCAACTTCACCAACATTGCCAACGCTATCAAGGCCATTGAGGCTGTGCGTAGCAAGGAGGAGTACAGGAAGTTCAAGGTCAACTTTGGCAAGGATCGTTGTGGCAACCCTCCTCGTCAGCTTCAGCAGCAGCAGGCCCAGTCGCCTCGCAGCGAGGGCATCCCCGCCGGCGTCCCCTCCCCTCCTCCTGTTGGTTCCCAGAACGGCAACTCGCCCACCAACAGCGGCTCGCCCCCACCCCAGCTCTTCAACGCCGCCAACCCCTTGACAATGTACCTCAGCCAAGTGTCCCACCAGGCACAGCACCAACAGCACCAGCAACATAACCAGCTTGTTGCCCAGCAAGCTGCTCTTTTTGGTACCGCTCAGTCGTCGCCGAACGATGTGACGCTTGAAGGCCCTCCTCAGGGGCCCTCATCTGGCCACCAGCAGTCTGCCAGCATATCGAACGGCTACCCGGGCAACGTGACAAGCTCTGGCGCTACCACCATTGGCGGTCTTTTGGCGCCCAACAACCGTGGCCAGCACAGCCGCGCCGTCAGCCTGCCTGTTCTGGCGCCTGGCTTTGAGAACGGCGCGCCGACGCCCAACAGCATCCCCGGCAACGAGGGTGAGCGTCGTGGACACCAATATCAGGCCAGTTACGGCGGTATGGGTGCCGGGTACGGCCTCGGCCTACAGGGCGGCCTGAATGGCTGGGTTGAGGAGGAGGTTGCCAACTAAAGTCAGGGGTGCAATCCAATTGGCCTGGGTGTTGTTTCTTGTCTCGCGCGCCAGGAATATGAAGAAAAAGGACAAGATTGCTCTATTCCTTGTAATTGGGTTTTCAATCGAGATGTTTTTTTTTTTGGTCTATTCACTCCTTCGCTTCGACTTCTCTTCTGTTCAGCTTCTTCTCCACTTGGAATTCTTAGGATGCTTTTTCTTGTCTCCGTCTACCTAGTATAATCTTTCCCCTCACCTTCGATGTATCATGTTGGATCGCCGGCCCCTTTGTTTTGCCGTCGCCATACGTACATGGTGTAGATGGGGCATTTGCCACCAGGGAGGTGCCTGGTGGTCGGTATGTGGGACGAACTCGGCGAGCGGGACACGGAGGTCGTGGGTGAGGGCATCCGGCGGGAAATCGATGCCATGAGGGGCGTGGAATTCCAGGGCATGGATCGGCCAGGTACCTGAATAGAAATCAACAAAGCGGGAAACCCGCCTGCGAAGCTTGTTTATCTCCTGATTGTCATGTCGTGCGAAGCTGATGTCTGCCGGCAGAAAACTTTCTTAGCAGTGCAGCAAAGACGTGTGTGGCGGTCTACAGACATGTACAAGAAACGTGTTGTCGTGCATGGCCTTGAGCGAGCCCTGATGTGTGCCATGAGACCGAGCAGCATCTCAACACTGGAATGAATATTCTTCTCGAAACATATATGGATAGCCTACCTTGAATCGCTAGAACGACGTTTACATCTCTTGGAAGTCTCCCTTCTACCTTGCATCTCATATGGACAAATAGAAACCTGGCGGACGCCTGTAATCAGATGCGGGAAGAAACACCGCGATGGCCACACAATTAATACCCGGCAGGCTCGACCTTCTCCGGAAAGACAATGGCCTTTGCGTTGAGGCGGCACTCTTGTTTCCAGTCCTTGGGTGTAAATTTGTCGACAACGGATTTGAACGCGGCCTGGGTAGGATTGTTAGCTTCTTGTCATTCATGATTCTCATCGCCCTTCAGCTTCGGGAGGGACAATGTAGGGTACGTACCAGCGTGCAGAACGACTCGTCGCCGGGGAGATGGTTCCCCTGAGCGCGGCAGCCGGGTACGGTGACCGGCTCGTCGTTGTAGCGGAGGCGGACGTAGTAGCCATCGAGCTTGGCGCGCTCGGCGGCCGTGAGGGACTCGGTCGGTGTGCGGCCGATGCCCGGAGGGGGGGTCCCGGGAGTTGAGGCGGAGCTGAAGAGTGACGCGAACCAGTTTGTAGACTTGACCACCGGGGCCGATTGCGTTGTGGGAGGCACAGCATCTTTGGGGCGCGAGTCGCGGAAGAGCTCAATGGCGATGTGGCTCGTGAAGGGGGGCCATTTGTCAGTGCCAAAAGCACCGAGGCTTGTGAGAATAGCAGCGAGAGTTGTGTCGTGGCAGCCACTTATGCCGAACTTGACGGGGACGGAGCCGTTGGAGGAACTCGGCGAGGAGGAGGAGCCGGAAGGTTGGGCGAGCTCATAGTCGCCATCAGCAGCGGACTGCTCTGCGGAACCGACCATGCGGGCTACGACGTCACCCATGAGGCCACCAATGCCGAGCGTACGGTATTCTGTGCTCTCGCGATATCCGCTGTACCACTCCTCAACGCCGATACGTTCGATAATCTCAATGACCTTGGGATCGTAGAAGGGGGCGGGCAGGCGTGTGGCAGGTCCATGGGCGCGAGTCGCGTTTATAGAATCCATGATGCCGGACAGGCGGGGATGGGAGTCGACCTGGACGCGTGGGCTCTCGGGTGGCATGTACTGGGCTAGCTTCTTGTTGAGGTAGTCCATCTCGGGCGTGGTATTCCAGCGGTCGGCAGTGCGCTGGGCAAAGGCGCGGGCGAGGGCGGCGAAGCGGCGGCAGTTGGAATCGTTGGGGAACAGCGTCTCATCTTGAGCGGTGCGTGTGAGGATCGTCGGCGGAGGGAAGGCAGCGGCGCGGGCGGAGGGGGGGTATAGGCCGGTAAAGGCTTGCTGCAGGGACTCGAGGGCGCGGGGCACGGGGGTGGATCGCAGGTATAGGTGGTCGGCGTCGGTGATGGTAGCCGGCAGAAAGGCGAGTCGGTCGACGTAGAGGTTTCGCAGGCGGGCTCCGAGGTCGTACGTCGTCTGACGACCAAGATCGGTCAGGGAGCCCATGTCACAGACATCGTCGAGCTCGGCGCGGGGCCCGGTGGCGGTGATGGGGACGTCGTTGGCGCCGAAGGTCTCTAGACGTCGACGCCACTGCAGCTCTGTGTAACTGTCGGTGGTGGGGTCGAGGAGGGCGGCGCGAAGGTGGCGGACGGAACGACAGTAGGGCCAGAAGGGATGCAGGCCGGTGTTCTGAAATCGGGCGTTGACGGGGGTGCGCTCGCCATGGCGCATGAGCACCTGGACTAGTTGTAGCTCAACCTGCGGGGGGTAGAGCTGACGCAGCTCGGCATCGGAGTAAGGAGGGCGGACGTTGAGGGACGTCATGTCGTGTTCGGCAATGTCTCAATCTGTCTGTCTCTAGCTGCAGGGTGCCGGTTGCGTTGGGAGTCCGGGGGTGATATGTGAGATCCGAGGCGGGAAGGGGGGAAGCTAGCTGTTTGACGGCAATGGCAGACGCACGAGAGACGCCTATTGTTGGCAACCAGACAGCATGGACGATGAGAAGGGGGGAGAGAGGGGGGTGAGATGTAGGTGATATGTGATGAAGAGAAGAAGTTGGTAGAATGGGGGGGAGAGGGAGGGAAGGTCAGGATTGCGATGTGCGGACGATCGGTGTCGTCGTGGAAGGTGAGGTAGTCAGTCGCGCTTTCCCCAATGACGGCCCGACGACGGGACCTCTCCTGCCCCGAACTGAAGTAGGTACCTCTAAGGAGGTACATGTAGCTGGGTAGCTGGCGCCCGGTGCCCTGGCGGCTGGAGCTTCCCCCCCGCCCCTCACACCCATGTCGCATGTCGTCGAGCCTCACCTCGGCACTGCAAGCGGCTGTCGCTGTGGCTGATGCTCGAGGGAGCGATCATCGAAGAAGGGGGGGTAAGTGCTGCCAATGTAGCACCGCAATTGAGCCCACGCAGCTGGTACGCCTGAAGGTGACCGACCCCTCTGCGGTGACACTGGTGGCACTGGCAGCATTGGAGGGGTTACAGTGCGTGTATCGCTCAGGGGTGGACTGTGTTTTCGGATCCGAAATACGGGTTGAGCTCCTGGCAGCAGCACAATCAGCAGCAGCAGCTGCAGCAGTAGCAGCAGGGCCATCCGCAGGACCTACTCCAGATGATCCTTCCGTCAGCACGGGCAGCCCAAGTTTCCACTCCAGGTGGACTGCTCTTTCCGGCGTTTCTAGGGGTGCCACTGTCGCTGATCCCCAATCCAGTCTCTTGGACCTGCCAGCCGAGCCAGCCATGACCTCTGGCTGTGCTGTGGGTGGCTCCAGAAATAAGGTAGGTAATGTCACACAGGCAGGTGCTACCGTCCATCGCCAGCAACCATAACACCAAAGACCTGTGAGGCTTCCACTGCGACCCAACATGGCATGCTGTACCTGTTCTCTCCTGTTCTCTCTTCAAACGAACGACCTACACACCCTTCCACCCATTGTGAGCTTTCTCTTTTACGGCGAATTCCTACTTCAATCCCCAGCACAGCAGCACCTGCACCACAACAAGATCAACGTTCCCCCACACTCGGCTAGCTAGTCAGTCAGTCCAATGCCCACGGCGCACGCCTTCGAGAATGATCCCACCTTCTCCATCCATCCATGGCGTCCCGGCAAGGCCGGCCACGCCGCTTTCGGCTGATTGTAAGCAGAGAAGCAGAGAAGCACCGTGGAACGACGAGTACGAGTAAAGCGCGAGCCAAACGAACCCGAACACAGACCTGCACGCGCACGATGCGGAAGGAAGGCCCCTCTTCACAAGTCAGAGAGGCGCAGCGTCGCCATGGCCGTCGCCCAGACATCCCGCCCGACGAAAGGATCCCGAGTCTGGTGGCAGTTCAACCCTCATCAGCCTGAAGTCCTGCTGTGCATGTGTGCAGGCCTCATTCTGAAATTTCTGTGCTTTTTTCCCAAAACCTCTTTGGCCCCATCGTTATCGCTCCATCCGTCTCCAGAGCCTATTGCCTGCGAGACTCGCTTCGCTGACAATACAATCGCATGCCATCCATCGTCTTGGCCCCATCTTGCTTCATGCCACATTATCCCTCTTGGCTGCTGAAAACCCCCCCTCCCCTTCCTACTTTTCCCCATATTCGGCGGCCTTTTCGGCGCCTTCGGACTTGCCCTGTTGCCCGAACCCCTCGTTGGTGCTGCCGACCTCTTTTCGTCTCTGCCCAGCTGAGCCAAGCTCTTGCTCTTGTGCCCCTGCTGTCAAGACTTCGATCGACGCAGCTCTGATAAGCTGGCGCAGTATCTCTGTCTGCGTGGGCATTGAACTACCCAATCTTTTTTTCCAGCCTTTGCTTCTTCCTCTTCTTCAGTTCCACAGCGAGCTACGTATCAGAGAGTGACGTCAAGCTTGTCATTAACCATTCAGCTCCAGCCAAGCGACCTGGTTAGGCTTGTTTGGTCCATGACGTTGGGGTAGACAGATTCCAATTGGAGATCCAAACCACCGACTTGCCCCTCCGGGCAGCCCCCGGAACCCCCGGCAGCTCGACAGCCACATAAACCGCGCCTGGCCCCAGCTACGCAACGCTCGCTGGCCGTTGAAACAATCAGACCTGTTCTGGGGATTTCACTGCAACCACTATGGCGACCGTTTCACAGCCCTTCGAGGCTCGGGCCGCGGCCACGAGAGACCCTCTGTCTCTTGACCCCATCGACACGGACGACACCACCGGCGAGGACGGCCTGATAGATGATGACGCCCAACTCGTCATGCAGCCCGCTCTAAGCGTCGCCGCCACTCGCCTCACCCTCTCCCGGACACCTGCTGCCGAGAAGGCAGCCGCTATGGACATGGCACCCGAGAATCCTTATTTCGCCAGGGTTACACCACCAACCAGCGACGAGGAATCGACAAGCCCCGGCAGTCCGCCGGAACCAATTTCTATCCCACACGACCGCCCAGCATAGAGCATCCATCAAGGCGAGCCTCTCCGCCGAGAACCTACAATGAGCAGCGCTACTCCCCACCAACCGCAAAGCCCTCTACCAAGCACCATGGCGTTCCGTGGCCCAAGGAGAAA